TGGCTTCCTTCCATGAAGTTAGTGTAATAGGTCATGGGCTGGAGGATAAATTCATCTCCAAACACCAGGCCTTTTCCTGGGCTTTAAGATGCTGGTGGGTTCTATTTTTACGGAGAAGATTTTATCTTTGCCTTTAATGGTTCTGCTGCTAGTCCGGGTTTTATATTTACAAAATGCTTTTAATTTTTGTCCCTACCTAGTACATGGTGCACAATAGGCGAACAATTCATGCTGTTGAGTAAACCTGAACCTACGCTGTCAGCCTTGGGCTTTGGGGAGGGAGCAGCCTTCCACACATTCCCTGCTGGGGAGGTGAGCTTGGGAAGCCCAGTAAACTGGTCATGAAATCTGCGGGTGACTGTGGCTGTCGTTAGTTTCCCTGATGGGGAACCCGTGCGTGTTTGTTAGCTTCTTTTGCTCCTGTCCCATGGATCTGGGTGCCGAGACCAGGATGGGAGAAGTGGCTTGTCCAACTAGGTCAAACAGGATCAGAGGTAACGTTAAAACTCAGGTATGCGTGACGCAAGACTTTGATCTTTCCAGAACACACAGTGTCACACCAGTAGGTTGTCGACCTGGAAGGTGCCTGTGTGCGTAGTACTTTTATTGAGACCAAGGACCCAGGGTGACTTGGATCCCCGCTATCCTTGGATATGAGTCCAGAGGTGGGATGGAGAGGGGATTGTCAGACGGGGTGGGGGAAGGGATGACGGGCGGAGGAAAACCACAAAGACTGGAGGAGGGGAAGCCTGGAGGCCCCTGTGCTCCTCAAGGTGAAAGGTCACGCAGGAGGCTGGAGAGGAGGAAATAAGAGCTAAGTTAAGGATTCCCTGGAGGCTGATGGGAGGGACCAGGCAGAGAGGAGAGGGAGACCAGGAGGGTAGAGTGTGGCCAGGCCGCCTCCCCTTCCGCTCATTTCAATGCCGGTTCAGCCTTAAACACAGAATTTCCCTGGAAAATAAGCTGGCTTTCTAAATTCATGTGTCTTTTGAAGAACATATTAATTCAAGAAGGAAAAATTAGTTCACACAACAGTTTTCCAGCCAAACACCTTCTCAGAGAAGCCCCGACCTTTTTTGCCCCTGAGCAAAAACTGTAGCTCCTAACAGCTGAAGCTCTTTTTGAACCTGGAATCTTCTCGGAGCCCAGACTCCTGACATGAGTGGAGGTGAGGAGTTTTCTGTGACTGTGAAATGAGGCAGTCTGGGAAATAGTGGTCAAAAGGGCCCCCAAAGAAAGAGAAGACCACTCCCATTATCTTGGTTAGAGAGGCACCCTTTCTTTGCCACACACACCACCTGGGGGTCTCCCTGTGAAACCCTTACAGGCTCCCTCCCACCCCTACCCCCACCCCCACCCCCAGGGAAAAATACCTTTTGGTGTCAGGAAAGGTTTTCCCTTTCTTGGGAACTGTCATTCTTTTTCTTTATAAACAACCGGGGGCCAGGTGATCAATTCCATTTCCCTAATCCTTGGCCCCATGACGGTGACAAGTCAAATCTACAGTTTATCTTCAATCACAGTTTAGTACCCTGTGGCCTGCATGACCATGCATCATTTTCCTTTTTGTCATGTTGTACCTTCATGAGTATTTCTGTTTTTTCCTGCCCATGGAAACAACACATAGTCACTTACAAACCTAGGAAGTACAGGAGCATTTTGATAAGGGGGGAAAAAAGCGCCAATGGGCCTCTTATTTGCCTGGATCACCATAAATAGTTTGATATCTTTTTTCCCATTTTGTTCCAATTTTCTGAGGACTGTACAGTATATGTAGTCAGCGGAGACACATAGGTAGGTAGATTATATATATATGTATATATTGATATATATAAATTTTCGGGAGAGATTAGACTTTGAAAAACAGCAGAGACATTTGGTTGAAGTAAGACGCGGGCAGCAAGGGAGTGAAATCAGGAAAGAGGTGGGAGTAGCAGGGAAGTGGGGATTAATCCAGCTCAACTGCGGGTCCTGGCAGACAGTAAGGTTACACTGAGAAATCCGAGAAAGGAAATGAGTCAGTAACTCAGAGGGAGCGGAGATGAGACAGCAGTGTGAAAGGGCCGGTGGCTTAGCCTGCATTCGGGAACGGGGTGACAGGAGCTAAATGATTTGAACAACAGCAGAATGTAGCTTTCAGATCAAATCATCAGCGATGTATTAAGTTCTTGTGAGCAAAGGCCTTGCTTTTGCTTTTGGACTGGGAGCCACCCTGGACATCTCAGAAGCCGAGCTTTAGGGCAGAGCTGGTGTGGGGGCGACTGGTGGGCCTGCAAGAGGCTGGGAATTCGAGTGGCTTTCTTCTCAGGGCTGTTTCCGAGCAATGAGAACCGCTCACTTGAGGCTCCCTCTTGTACTCTAGTCTTTGGGGAATACCGTGAGTGACACTTTTAATTAACAGATCTGCTGGGAACAGAACTCCTGTAAAAGCGTTGGCTGGGCATGGGGTTTGAAGGGTGGGCCGAGGAGGCTCCCACGGTCCTGGGGGAGCTCTTGGACTTGGAAGCCACGACTGAGTCGCACCTCTTTGGGGTCAGACCTCTCTGGGATGGGGCCCCCGAGTGTCCTCCCAGAAAGGCCCAGCGCTCTGTTCCAGGGGAGGGAGGCTGGCCAGCTGTGGCGACAGTCCTTAGGCAAGCTGGGCTCATTTACCACTTGGGGGTGCGGGCCTTTCTACTCTCCCCAGATTCGAACAACCCACTGGTTCAGAATGGGAGAGGAGAATGGGGACCAGCTTTTGGGAACACATCATTCCGGCTCCTGGGTCCTTCCTACCACCGACCCGTAGCTGCATGTGTGACCACAGCAGTGACCTTAGATGTCTTCCACCACACGATGTGCATCAACTCTCTCTCACCCTGCCTGTGCCCCTGCTGCCTCTGGTGCAGCATCGAGATCCTCGGTATCAGAGCGTCTAAGGAAGGTTCAGGAAAGAGAGAAAGATTCCTTTCCTTCTGGTACCCTTGTGGAAAGTAAGCAGGACGTCCCTACCTTGGAAAACATGCTTTCATCGTGTGGCACCTGAAGTAATGGTTGGTCAAAGGGTTTCTTAGCTCTAATTACTTTGCTAAAGGAAGTTTACTTAACTCTGACATCCTCATCAATTGGTTCCTCACTTTGAAGGGCTTTGACAAAGCCCCTGAGGTTGGTGATGAGTTTCCACTTGACCAGAAGTTGACAAAAACGGTTTTATGAAAGCTTTCAACAGAATTTGATTGTTAAACTGAAGGTGTAACTAAGACCATTGTTTCTTTCTCTTTCATCTCTTTGTGCTTGAGTCAAGTGTTTCTCATCTCTTTGGTTGTCTTTCCCCATCTTTTTGGGTTGTTCTTAACAAGACAGTCCTGGTTTTAACATTTTTATTCCTCCCAGTTCATTTTTGATTATGTTTTGAAGGCTTGATGTTTTTACAGTATGGAAACTCAACAGTTAAACTTAATTATGCTTCCTTTACCAAGCCTGACTTTTTTTTTAAAATAATATTTATTTATTTATTTATTTATTTATTTATTTATTTATTTATTTATTTATTTAAAATCACACTTATTTAAAGGCCTTCTTGGGAAAACATCCAAGTTTTCAGTCAAGGCAGCGGATGAGTTCTCTGTGGCAATAACTTGCTGTATAGGATAAAGAAATCTGAAAAAAAAAAAAAGAAATCTGAAGAAGTTTAGCAGTGGCAGCATTCAAATGCAAGGAAACAGATGCAGAAGAAAAGACAAATACAATTCCATTGGGGGCGGGGAGGAATTGCACTGATTTAGGATTAAATTTAAGGATTGTAATAGTGTCTTGCTATGCTAACAAGGATTCAAAGGAGGCTATTGTTATTCAAAATTAAGGTGTGGTTAACCTAAAGGACGCTCCTTTTCAGGTGGACCTAGGAGGGTCTCTTAACGTGTGGAGGTTGACAGCCACAGTTGCTTTGAGAGAGGCAAACCTAGTTGCAAGGCCTCGAACAAAAGGCTTGACAGCATTCAATTTCGTTATCAGGGTTTGTTGCATAGAAATCTAGGAAGAACTCCGATAACAGTTCATAAAACAAAGTTATGGCACCAGATGAACATGCTCATCTTTAAAAGAAAAATATAATAAAATCTCAGAAAGGAGTTGATGGCATGGGTATAGAAGGCACCAGGAATGATTTATGATGTGGTTTGGGAGGAGGAAGACAAAGCTGGAGGTCCTGCCCATCTTTCTAAGGACATACGGAAACTCTGCGCAGAAGCTTATATTGTGCCAGTTTCTCTGAGATTAAGTCACAGTGACAAATCCTGGAAGTTGTGTGTAGCGAAAGTTTAATCATGTTTTTCCCTGCAGAAACCTTCATGCCTTGACATTTGGGTTTCTCCACATATCTGGCGCTTGCCTATCTTCCTGCTACTCTGTCCTCTAGCTACACGGTTGTTACCTTGTTGGGTGGAACATAAGCTTCTTGAGGGTTTCATGTCTTACCTATGTGACCCTCACGGGGCCTTCCTTGCTCTTAGTAAGAGCTCAGTAATGTCATGTTTACGAGGTTGGTGTCAAGAGCTCTGTCTTTGGCTGAGATCGGCAGAGGTGTCCTCATTATGTCAATTATGTGAGTGTGGGAGGGCTGGTGGGGCAGGAGAGCTCAGTCCTGCTTTGGGGGAGGAGTTCACACCATGGCATCCCAGTGACTGCATGGTGGGGAAGCACCTGAGGAGCTGGGAAGCAAAGACTCTTTGTCCAGGAGGAGATACACTGGTGACGCAGAAAACCTTTAAGAGGGTTTTTTGGGGAGGCTGGGACAGCTAAGTCCTGGGGTGGTATTCAGAGAGTCCCTGCTGGGGCCCTTGAATGGAGGGCTATGTGGGCAAGTGTGACCTTGGGTGGAAACAAACACAATGTGTCAGCCCTTTGTCAGCAGGTCCTAAGGAAGAAGAGCCAGTGTCATTTAACTCTTGCGCTGTTATTGGTGATGGTGATAATGATAATCACGCTGACAATTAAAAAGATAATTGTTTTCCTTCTTTTAGTCACATAGAAAAAATCACCACATGGCAAGACCCTAGGAAGGCGATGAATCAGTCCCTGAATCCTATGAACCTCCACCCTGCTGCCACTTCCACCCCAGCATCCCAGAGGTCCATGGCCGTGTCGCAGCCGAATCTCGGTAAGCCCAAAGCTTCCAGTTGGACTGAATGAACAAGTATTTAGCCAAGGGGCTCTGGAGCTCGGAAGCAGCTCTGGCTGTCTCCGTGTCTGCTTGTGCATCCAGATGGTTCTTGGGCGCATTACCCTTCTGTCACCTTTGCCTTTTTTTTCTTGGCGCCTTTGCTACCTGGTCATGGTATTGCTACCTGGGTTCACCCTACAGTTTCCATGTCTCCTTCAATTGCCTCAATTGGAGTTTTTTAAAAAAATAACTTTTTAAAAAATCACTCCTTTCATCCAGTCTATTCCCGATTCTGTGAATTTAGTCCTGAAGACTTGCAGAGGTGCAATTCTGACCTCTCATCCCATTCCTTCCTTCTTTTATTACGATTATTTTGCATCATGTGCGACTGACACCAGGCTGGGTGCTTTCATGCCTTATCTCATTCAACTCACCACAACCCTACAAGAAATGATAGCATTCCCATTTTATGGAGTAGGAAGATTTTTTAAGGTCACACAGCTTGCGTTTGGAGTTTGAACTGAGCCTGCCCTGGTTTAAAGGCATTCAGCCTTTACCTAATCTGTGGGAGCCTTCTCGAGATGCCTACCTCAGGACACTGTAGTTCACTCTTCACCTCACTGAGAATGTTTAAATGTGATTTTAGAATTGAGAAGAGATTATTTTCTGCTCATTGCCTTTACTAGAGAGGAACTAAAACTCTGCCCACTAAAGAAATCAGATGTGAATTAAGACACTGCCGCGACATTACTAATCAGCCTCTGTTGTCAGTCCAGACACACACACAAAGGCTAAGAAGAAAGGGTACTTTTAAAGTTTTATAAAGGATAAACTTTCAGATAACATTTCCATTTAAGATCAGATATCCAGATACTGCTTTATACACAGAATAGTTAATTTTAGAGTGAAAAGAATCTCCTGTTGGATTTTTCAGGAATGAACAGGATAAAAATGGAAGCATTATTCCCAGACACCTTCCCTCATACTGTGACTTAGCCAAAGTGAGTATGAACTCAAGTAAACCCGAGTCAGCCTCAAGTAAATATATTGTCTGTTCTTCCAGGAAGTCTGGATCTGCCATTTTAAAGCTTGCAGATGTAAAATATATCCAAAAGCAAACGACTTGGAGTAACTTCTGTGGTGTCCCATATCTAAGAGGCAGATCAAGGAAAATGGTACCAATGCTTCTACCAGCAGTGGTAAACCAAAACTTCCCATGACTCATTTGTCCCAAATATATAAGAGCTCAAATAGAAAACAGTTGCAAGTGTAGTAAAGAAACCACAAATTAGGTAGCATTAGACTAGTTTCGAGGTTTCTTTTAGCCATTTAATTTTCATCAACAATTCTAAAGGTTGATTATTAAAGTATTAACTTTAATTTTATAATTCATTATAATTGGGGGACAAAAGTCTTTCATGGACTCGGCTAAAAAAATTAAAACACTTTTTCAAAGCATTGTTCAAAAAGTAAGTCTTTCTCGGATCCCCATTCCTGGAGTCCTCTAGTGCTTTCTGGTCATGGATTTGTGTTTTTTCACATGAGTGCTAGCACACTCTACCTACTGTTCTGTCCCTCGCCTTGTCTGCTGTAATATCTGTACACACAGAGCTGCTTTATTCTTTTAAAAGATTTCCTCATAGCCTCAACATAATGATATGCCATAATTAGCGTATTTAACTGGCGGACCCCATCTGATGGATATCTAGGTTGTGACTAGTGTGTTGCTAGTACACACAATACTGGAATGAATATCCTTGTTTATGCTGTTTTATGTACTTGCCTTCATTTTTAAAAATTGTGCAATAAGTACAAAGTGGAGTAATTAAAAGGAAACTTGAATGCTTGAAACTCAGCATTGAAGGCATTTGTGAATCCGTCTGCGCTTGTGCTCCACCTCCCTCCCTGCAAAAGCACCATTGCCGGTAAAGGATATCTAAAGAAACTGTGATCTGAATGTTGGAAACATGTTTACCTATTGCTGAGTTAAAATACCTTACTTTCCAGATTTCAAATCAGTTGAAGCAGTAAATTTCTCAACACATTTCTGTTTTTTTCCCTCACGGTATTTGAATATTTGTCCATCACAACATGTGTTGCTAGCCTATGGCGAATCACAGATGTATCCCAAGGATAGACATGTAACAGGGAATGCCAATATCCCAAAGACTGGGGATGATTTAGAGGGTCACAGTGGTCACAGTGTGGTCCTCATAATAAATGATTTATTCAGAATATGTTATTTCAATCTATAGCTCTCTCTGTAGTGTATACTATTTATTATCAATTATTTTTCAATTTTGTTTTATTTGCTTAGATACATCAGTACATACTTGGAAGGTCAGTTTAAATTGCATATCCTTTTTTTCTTGTTTCTTTAAATTCAATTTGCTGACATAAATAAAGTACAACACCCAGTGCTCGTCTCATTGCGTTATTATCAATTTTTAAAACCATGAAGAGCAGATCCTTCTACTTCTTAAATCTGAATTTTGGTCTTTTCATTGGCTGTAGCTAAGTGAACTTAAGTGATCTGTCTCCTTCACAGGGAGGTATTTATGTACATGTGAAAATGTCAAAATACGACTAATAATAGTATTACAAGATGATTAAAATTAGTATCTTTTATAGGCTAATTTTCTATATTTCTAGGGCCGTGATATAATCTATGATATCACTACTTTCAGAAATAAATCCTCTTATTGGGATTCTGTGTTTTACTAGATTGGGTTCATGGATTTTGGGAATCAGACTGTCAGAATTTGAAACCTGGCTTTGCCCATTACTTAGCTTGGTGACTCTGTTAATTAATAATAAACTAATTTTGCCTTAGTTTCCCTATATGTAAAATGAAGATTATTATTATAGCACGAAGAGATTATGTGAGTTTATCTATGTCAAGTACGTAGATCTGATGCCTGGCACATAGCAAGCTGTCATTGTTTTATTCTTATTATTAACATTATTTTTAGTGGGGAGAAAGTTTTATATTTAATTCCATGTTAGATTTGAAGATAATTTCATTGTTCATCATAAAAGCTCTTAAGGAAAAAAAAAGTTATTTGGGGCAGGTTAGAGCGCAAAGCTCTTTAAATTAGGAACAATGTTTATTACTTTCAATGAATATAGTGCCCTCTGGTGGAAATGTTTCAGTGCGTTCCCCTCCCCCCAGGAGAAGCTTCTCCGTGAATATCTGATTTTTTCAGTGCGTCTATTCCTGAAATGTAGCTTGCAAGTTAAATCATATTTTAATTGGCAGAGAAGAGACCTGTCACTTAAAGGTGTCCCAAAGCAAGTGACTTGTAAAGTGGAGTAAACTTTTGTCGGGCTGCATCAGCATCCAGTGAAAAACCATCTATGTAGGACTGCAGATCCGTTTGTATCTCTAAACTCAACTAACTTTTCAAATGCCCAAGTAAAATGAAATAGACTCTGTAGGGGAAAAATGCAAAAAAAAGGTTGTTGGGTTTTTTTAAAAAAATATTTATTCATGGGAGACTCACAGAGAGAGGCAGCGACACAGGCAGAGGGAGAAGTGGGCTCCCTGCAGGAAGCCCGATACGGAACTTGATCCCAGGACCCTAGGATCAATCATGACCTGAGCCGAAGGCAGATGCTCAACCATTGAGTCACCCAGGCGCCTACCCCTCTGTCCCTTTTAAAATTTTTTATTTCAAAGACCCATCTCTGGCTTGGTCTAGTTTTTAACTGAAATTTTTGTTTTTGTGTTTGCCAAATCAGATTTTCTGTCAGGTTTTGTCCCACTTGATTCTGTTTGAGCAGATTGGTGACTTTCGTGTCTCAGTCCCCAGAAATGCCCAGTGAATGGAAGAAGAAAGGAAGACATTGGAGAGCTTCAGGAGTTGAGGGGAGATGATCTCTGGGTGGAAGCTTGGGGCCGACAACTTGCTTAGAGCCCTCGCTTTTATGTAATAGTGAAGGGGGAAAATGTACGTGTGAAAGTTGATTTTTTTTTTTTTCCATAACATGAACCTTTTTGTTTGTTTCATAGTACAAACCGGGTTGGACCTCGTATCTTTGAATTGGCTCACTGGTCTCATTAACCAGTATTAACACTTACTGAATTTTTTTGAAGGGGGAAAAAAAATGAAACAAACAGGAAAAAAAAGGACTCTGCGCAGGCCCTATTCTAATATATAGGACAATGAGCTTGGGGGGTGGGTGGGAATAAGGCCTGTTAAGGAAATCAGTTAGGGTGTTAGGGAAGTGAGGTGGGTAGGGTAGAGGCGGGGCGCCTTTTTGTATAGTGGTTGATGGGAAGAGTTTGGGGTCAGAGTTGAGTTTCTCTTGGGTTAGACATTGACTAGTTTTGTTTGCTATCACCCTCTCTTGGTCTCCTTTGCCTTCTTTGTAAAGTGGTGATAATGACAGCAAACATACCCAGCTGCTGTGATGCCTATCTCCCAAAACATTGTCTTAGGTACTTAGGCCTATAGAAAGCCACCAAAGGTTTTTTTTTTAATTTTTTATTTGGGCAGCCTGGGTGGCTCAGTGGTTTAGTGCCACCTTCAGCCCAGGGCATGATCCTGGAGACCCAGGATCGAGTCCCACATCGGGCTCCCTACATGGAGCCTGCTTCTCCCTCTGCCTGTCTCTCTGCCTCTCTCTCTGTGTGTCTCTCATGAATAAATAAATAAAATCTTTAAAAATAAATAAATAAATAAATAAATAAATTATTTAATTATAAATTATTATAAATTATTTATTTATTTATTTATTTATTTATTTTAAAGATTTTTGAGACACACAGAGAGGCAGAGACATAGGCAGAGGGAGACACAGGCTCCCTGCAGGGGAGCCGGGTGTAGGATTTGATCCCAGGGCCTCAGGATCCCCACCTGGTAGCCTTATTTTTTTCCTCACTTTTCTGGTCCCTGTGTCCTTTGGGGGGCGGGGTGTGAAGAGCTTGTGGTGTGCAGTTTCAGATAGACGTGCTTCCTATAACTTGTATCCGTTTGGGCACTTTTGCTTCTATATGGCAAAAATACGTTTGCAGAGGACAGACAGACAGCAGTCGGGAGGAGATGATGAAGAGGCACGTGCTCTGACCCGGCTCTTTCCCCATCAGATTATTAACAGGGCGTCTGTGACAAGCAGGCACACTCAAGTTCCACATGAAGGACATTTCCGCCCCTGCAAGTGTGCCGGTGGCAAGGTTTTCCCGTTTCTCAGCACACAAATACTGAAATCATGCAGCAATTTAAAATATCCCCGCGTTTTAAAATGTTATTGCCAAGAGAAAGTGACATGCAATTTTGCCCTTTTGGTGATAATCCTAGTGATCATAAACCATGGTGTGCTGGGCTCCTGTCACACATTAACAGACCTCTTTGTTGGAATGAGGCCCCAACCTGGGGTGCCAGTATCCTCCCAGACAGAACAGGAAAAATAAAGCCTGTATAACAACCTCACCAGACTGCCAGCCCTAGCCGGTTCAGAAACTTTTGGTAAAGTGCAGCCAGAGAGTATTTTTAATGCTATAGGAATTTTAAAAGTATCACACACACACACACACACACGCACGCACGCACACTTTCCCCTTTGAAGATGTGCCGTCCACCAGGCCAGAGTCTAAATTCTCCAGGTCTGTCTTAATCTGTACTTCAAATTATAAACACGTGTGTGTGTGTGTTTTTCTTTTTTGCAGGGCCTGCTTTTCAAGACAAGATGGAAAATCTTGTCTGTGCTCAGTTTGGTAAGTTGGCTTATTCCCTCTAGGAAGTGCACAAAGCACTTAAAAACATTTTATCAAAAGCGAATAAAATAGCTAAGGGACGCTGCAACCCAGTGTTGCTTAAAGCACAGATGCTAAGGTTTGCTAAAAGCCAGATTTATACGTAGGCTATTTTTTAAAATTCTTTTTCCAATGGTTTGTTTTGTTTTGTTTTTTCTAATCCAATTTATGTGGTGAGTTTGTGGCAGACACATCTAGCTACTGGGATTTTTCCAGCTTGGATATTCTCTCTACTTTTTGAATTTTGTGTTTCTGCAGCATAAATTAGCATGAGGTGCTTAAGCACACACACACACACACACACACACACACACCCAAAGACAAACTGAAAAAGCGTCACAACTTTACAGGAGTGGGGTGGTTGAGTGACAGGATGTTGGTAGGAATGTGGTGATAGAAAGTGGGTGGATATGGCAGGGAAGGAAGACTGGTAGGCACGGGGAAAAAGGGAGGGGTTCTGGTTAAAAAGCCTTTTTTTCTTCCCTTGGTTAGAAAAAGGAGAAACAGTTTTCTAAATACTGTAGAAATCATTATTTTCATCTTGGATTTGCAGGAAGCTATCAGTTGTCAAAATTCACTCTATCTAAGCAACATTATTGAAGACTGTTCTTTGGAATTTCCAAAAAGAGATTCATTGCACTTTTTTTTTGTTTTTCTTTGAAGGCTTCTAAAGATCTATGAAATGGGAGCTAAAAACATGAAATCAACTGATTCAATTCCTCTCATGCAATAAAGTGAGATGTAATAGTATATAAAGAAATGAAAAAAAAAGAAATGAATTTGGGGTTTCCATGTGTATATTCCATTTATCTTAATGTGGATGAATCTCTTATCTAGATCTGGACAGTTATCTCTTGAACAACGCAAGAGGTTGGGGAACAGACCCCTGCACTGTCAAAAAGCCACACATAACTTTGATTCCCCAAAAACTTAACTAATAGCCTACTCTTGACCCAAAGCCTTACTGTTAATACAGTCAACTAACACATATGTTGTATGTTATATGTATATTACTGTTTTCTTACAATAAAAGTAAGCTAGAGAAGAGAAACTGTTAAGAAAATCACAAGAGAAAATACATTTACAGCACTATTCTGTAAAAAAATTGGTGTTTAATTGGACCCATGCAGTTCAAACCCATATTGTTCAATGGTCAACTGTTTTCATTTGTCTGGATGAAGTAAGATGAGGTGGTAAATGCTTGTAGACTTTATTACATGAAATTTAGAAATTTAGGTGGAAAATCTCTTTGATAGGAAGTCTTAAGAGCCATGAAAGATGTTTGATGCCACATTTTCCTAAGAAAATCTTCTCAAAGATCAAATTCCTGTGTATATGCCCAATAAACACTTTGGAAAATCGTGCACACAAAGATGGGTTATTTATAACAAAGCACCCAGTAAATGCATGCAACACGATAAATATATTTGTAACCATTAAAATAATAGTTATAAGGGCTATGTGGCATATGGAAAACTTTATTATTTCAGTCTAATTTTATGAAGCAGAAAAAATTATTTGTGCTATGACTATAATTTTGTTTTTTTAAGAAAAGACTCTTTAGCTTCTCCTTTCCCACAGACTTTGCTCTCCATCTGTGTATTTCTAAGCCCCAGCCAAGTGCATTATGTATCACAGGTGCACCACTTTGTAGAGTTAATGTGTTAAGTAAGTCAATTACATATTTTTGAATGTTAATAGTGATTTATAGTAAGCTTTTTTGACTGGGGGTGATTCCCTTTATTTTCCCTGTGATGTGGTTATACTCCTTTTACTTTTTTCCTAAAAGAAAAAAAAAAAGGAGAACCAGTTGATGTCTTGAGCTTTTTATAGAAGGAGAGGAGGAAGGGGTGTTGGGAAGAAGGAAGCAGGCCCCATGTGCAGTCCAGACAATACCATGAATCTTCAAACTTCTGCAGTTGACTGAATTTGCCAGTGGCAAACAAGTTATTCTCTAGTCTCTAAGATCAAGGTTTCTCCTGGTGGGGATCCACATCTAGCATGGGGTAAGATCCTTGGGGCATTTGTTAACCGTACATCGCCAGGATCCAGTCATGTGATTGCTCCTTAAAGAACAGTGTTAGGCTGCTGCTGGAATAATGCCTGGGCCCCCACCTCTAGGAAATCCTGTTTCAGATGGTGTCAGTTGGGGTCTTGGAATGAGTGTTTTCTTCAAGTGCCCAGTTGACGCTGGTCATCAGCCAGGTGTAGGAGCTGCAGCAAGATTATGTGTTTTTTTTCTTAGCACAGTGATTTGAGAAAGCCATCATAGTCAATGGCAAAAACTCCCTTAGGCTATCCATTCTTTAACTTGAGGTATCTTAAAAGAACTCTGAACGTGCTCGCCAGCTTTTTGACTGGCTTCTTTGTCCAAAGTAGACATTTATTATTATGGCATTGGCATTTGTCATTTCGGCACTTGTTAGTGCTGATGCACGGGTGAACATTGGGTGCATGATCGCTGAGGCCACTTTCCAGAAAGTTTTGACCCCAGTCATACCAAATAAACTTCAAAAAAACAAGGGGAAACTTTGCGGTTTAAGATCCAGGTTATTGCACTATATTGTCTAAATTCACATGGTAAGTGTGTAAGCTCACCTTGAACTTTGCTTGCTGAGAGTTGACCAGAGAATCAGGCCATTGCAGGCCTAAACTGCAGAAAAATGCCAGAGAGGCACCCCATACCCCAGAGAGGAGCAGAGCCTCTTGGGAAGGAGGTAAAGGCCAGGCCAGGCTTTTCTTAAGTCCCTTCTTTGTGTGTACTACCTCCCTTCTTTACTTACTTTCGATGGATTCTAATTTCTTCACCAAGCTGTGGGCCTTTGTTGAGAGTTTAAGAAATCATTATGACAGTTTTAATAGTATCTTCTGGCTGACTTCCAATAGTATGCCCTCAGGAACTTCCTTGTTGTAGGGAATTTCACCCAGCTAGTTGGAGGTGAAGGGATTCTGGGATGGTTTGTCCTTTGGCCACTTGTTCCAAATTAATAAGTGCTGAGTGACATTTGGACACTCTTCTTTCATCTCCTTGTTGGGGCGCCTGGTGGTGTCCCGGCCTGTGTGTGATCATCACGTCTCCCACCCCATATCAACTGGAAGATTGATTTCTTCTTCCTTTCTGGAAGTCTAAATTTATTCCCTGGGTGTTTTGCAGTTGCTGGTGGTCAGGGACAGCTGTTCCACCATGCTTGACTCTGAATAATTCTCTGTGATGAAGTCAGCAAAATAATACTGTAAGAGAAGCCAAGAAAACAAAGGCCTTCATGGTCTTTTCTCATTAAGGGCTGAGGAGAGGAAGATCACCTCCTCTTCTTGGTTTAAAAAAAAAAAGGCAGGAAAAGATAAGATCCTAAACATATTTGAGGCAACAAGATTCAAAAATCCCCCCCCCTATTATATAATTACTATTTGGTCATTCTAGAACAGCTGATCAGCAAAAAATGAGAAAATTAAAAAAAAAAACATTGTTATCTGATCATCAAAACCACACTAACATTTTCTCATATATTTGTCTTTTTTCAATATAAATGTGAACAAAAAAGGTTGGAAAACCTTCTATATTCTTTTTTTTGTAGCCAGCTTTTCCATTTAGCATGTCATGAGCATCTTTCCATTTCCATTAATATTTGTCTACAATAATTTTTGATTAGCTGTTATTATTGGAAAAGTAACACACACACGACAAAAAATTCAAACAGTTCAAAGACTATTCATGGGAAGTAAGTCTCTTTCACACCGAGACCCCCAGCCTTTCTCTCCTCTTCCTCAAAAACATTGCTACTGGCTTCCTGAGTGTTCTAGAAATACTCTACATACATATGTTTGCTTGGGTGTATAGGTCTTTTTTAAATTTAACATATCCTAGAGAGCTTTCTAAATTCACACTTAGAGATGTATTCATTCTTTGCCAGGATTATGTAATATTCCACTCTATTGATGTACCAAATTTATTTAAACAGTCCCTTATACTGGATATTTAGATTCCTTTTTGATTGTACAGTTATTAAGCTGTGCTACAATATGCATCCCTGTACGTAAATCTTCATGCCTTATGCTGTTAACGTATAAGGTCATTTTGCAGAAGTAGACTTCCTGGATCTAAAAATTACATGCATTTGAAGTTCTAATAGATGTTCTACTGCCCTCCAAAAAGGTTATGTCATTTAACACCAGTCCCAACAGTGCATCAAAATGTTCCTTTCCTCCTACTCTGGCCAGTGATGTCCATTATCAGACATTTTAGTCTTTATAATTCTGATAGGTAGAGACTGGATTCTCATTGTTTATGAATGGACTTGAGCATATTTCTGTTTGCAAACACCCTACAATATCCTATAGGGGGCTATACTATAATTTATTTATCCAGTTCTTCTATAGAGAGACCTACGGGTTGATGCTATTTTTCTACCGTTAATAAATGATGTTGCAGTCAATACTCTTGTACGTAAATTTTTGTGCCTTCCTTTAGCTTTCTCCTTTCTTCCAGGTTCTTTGGAATGTTTGTTAGTGAAGTATAGGAATTCCTTAAGAAGTACAATTTTGACATGGTTTGCTTTTATCAAACGAAACAAGTAATTGCCGATTCACCAGGTGTGTTGCAGGGGGTGGGGTTGGGGGGTGGGGATTTGTTTGGGGCGCTACTTTCTTGTGCAATAAATGATTTAAGGTTGTCATAAAAAGTGTATTTTTCACCAGGCACCTAGTGTTCCCAACCAGCTCGTTTTTCAGCTTGCATATCCATATGTTTTTGACTAAGCCATAAATGGAAGTTTCATTTGAAGTTATTTTGCTTCCCAGTACATGTCATGCATTTCATTCCATATTATTTTAGTCCTTTTCCTTTCCAGCATTCTATTTCTCAGACACCAGTGAAGATCGAGTTGTGAGTTTTCAGTTCTGCCAAGAGTTACAGATTTGCAGGGCTGGAAGAAAATAAAGTAAAAAATATTGTTTAATGTGGG